TGCAGTCGATAATACCCATCAATCTGTACTGGGTCCGCCTTTTGGGTCAAAGCACGTTCTCACTATTTGATTTTTAAGAAAGAGTCATGGAAGACGATGTATACATTTTTGACTGATTTGGCCTACAGAGAATAAACAATTACCATTTATTAAAAATTCCATTAAAACTATATTCATTTCATTTGGAAGTCAACAAAATGCAATAATGTGTGATCAAAGATTTTAATGGTAAAATTTCCTATTTAGGTGAAAAAGGAAAGAATTTTTATAAAAAAATTTTTTTTACGCGTAATGAATAATGAACTTTCGCTCTTGCTTCGAAGATGTGCTGGTGGTTATTATATTATTGTATTTGAAACTCTATTCAAACGGTTACAAATTATGTTATAAAAATGATAATACAGTTATATATTAGTTCTATCGTTAATATCATCTAAACTACAGCGTAATTGACCAGCGTGGGAGGCTGTTGACATCCGCTAAGACGTCACCATGAACACTTATGATTACGTGCTATAAATAATAATAATACAAATACAACAGACTAATAGTTACCCACGGCTTCACCCGCGTGATTAAAGGGAAATGATGTGTTTTTTCACTATAATAGTAACATACATTTCTCTCTCGCCAGCTTCCCATCTTCAGCCACAACGGCACACTAAGTACCCAACGTAGCATTGCTGTGGCTATATAGAATTATTAAAAGCAAGACAAACACACACATTTTTCCATTTATTATTTTAGTATGGAAGGGCCCGTACTCATGCCTTCCACTGCTTTCCGCAAGCGAGGACGTCGCGTGGGCATATGTTTACTTCAACTTTGTGAATTTGAATAAATTTATTACATTCTATATAGATTTATTCATCAATCAGTTATTGAGAGTACGAATAGTTTACCTTGAAGATATATTAACAATTACAATAGTACTTATGATGATTTGTACGCCGTGTAATATAAGTAGAGAAACATATCTGTAATTTCGTGTATTTAATAATAATAATTTTCTTCTTTTATATATATTGTCACATACTAGGGTTCGGGATAAAAAATTAAAACCTATTTAAATTTATGTGCATTTGAATTTTAAAGACATTCCTTTTTTTTAATGAAACAGTAGGTAATAAGTCGAGTCTTTAATGTCCTTACTAATAAGAAACTTATAAATATTGTAGAGTTATAAATAATAACCTCTTTTCATATCTTTCTAATGTGACTCTCAGTTAAATGAAAATATTGTATAACAACATTTTCACTCTGTAGCCTTATCACAAAATAAAATACATCATCGCGTAGAGCAAAAAATATTACTATTATAGCATCTCTGTGTTATACTGTACCTAATGAAGGAATCAGTGGCATAGAGTGCCATGGAGGGCCCCGTATAAAAAAATTTTTACGGCCCTTATAAATGGTAAAGATTTTCTTAATTAGTCGTAGTTTTCACTTTTTTGTATTTGTACTTTTTCATATTTATATTGATATCTAAGTTTCGAACTTATCAAATTTCAGTTTTGAATATGTTAGTCAAAAGGAACGGAAATGACTGTCTTTGGTCCATTCGTTTCCTGCATAAATCAACTTCTGCTAGAGTCGCCATCTAGTGGAAGTGCTTTTTAGTGCTTTTGTTTTTTTTAAATACTTTTCATTGTTTTTTTTTAACTTTTGTCATTTCAGAAATAAAAGGAAATTTGGGAAGCTTTTATTAATTTTGCTTCCGCATATTAAAGGCCCCGTGGCCCGGAGGCCTCGTATAACAACACTACACCCCTGGACAGATTTTTTATGAGTTGTTGTCCCAAATAAATTAAAATAAAATAAGAGAAATTAAATATTTACCTTAACTTGCCCTTAACTAATCTTACAATAACTGCCTTATGACATTTTTTTTATTGATTACACAATGTTAAATCTCATTGCAGTTTAGATAGTCGTTATCAAAGTTAAAATAAGGTCACTTGGCAGTAAACGTTAGATCAATAATGCTATACAGGTGAAGTTCAATAAAAAACACATCACAAATATCTTCAGGACACGCAATCTTGTCTCCAATACAAAGGGCTGTTACAAAATAATAAGTTTTATAAAATAAATATTTGTGATAAAAATACTCTATAATTACGAATCACGATCATGCAATCGATTTTGGTTTTAAAACAAGATATAAAAAGTATGTTATCCACTAGCTACAAAACTAATAGCTCCATTCCATTTAAAATTTTATTTGCAACCCGTTTTTTAATAAAGTTTAACAGCTGAACTCTTCAAGGAGCAAAAGCTGAAATATAATTATTTTTTTTTAGTTCAATAACTAGTTTTTGGGGGTATGGATGAATACAATAAAACAACTAAATCAAAAAATTAGAACAAAAAGTTTGGATAGTAGGTTTCTTAAAGCCCCAAAAAACAGGCATTTCTGCTTACACGGACAGTACTATACTCTATTTATTATAGCATTAAACAGAAGTTAAACAAGGTTCTTTTATGGTATACTTTGTGACAAATATCAATAATCATGTTACTCTTAAGACTGACGGCTAATTTGCTACATATTCAAATTCAAATTCATTTATTCGGTGCATGCACATAGGACACTAAAATATAATAATTTATCACATTAATACATATTACAATAAACATTAGATTAAACGTACAATTACAAGCAATAAGATATTTAACATATCCTCTTAAATACCAGCGGCTATTCTTAACCGTGGTCGTTTAATTAAACAAAGTTATTAAACAAATTTATGAGTATTGTCTAACTTAAATGAATTAATAACTATTACAAGTGTTCATACACATACACTAACCCTGCTTCTTTAGGTTCTTTATACCTAAAGAAGCGGGTTTAGATTGTATCGGCACGAGTCACTATAACTCTACCAAATTTAAAACGTTGCCTAATCTATTCAAGCGTTTTGGCAGTACAGATTTTTCATTTTGTCAGATTATTATGTATTCATGATAGTCAAAATTCGTAATCTGGGATTGTCATTCATTGTGAATTATACTGCCCTTCCTGTTGTTTTGCCGTTTGGCGTGATTAAATAGTTATTGTTTTATTGTAGTTTTTTTTATATTTTTGTATTTGTTGTTATATTTTGTTCAGTGGCGTAGCTAGGTAACCTAGGGCCTTGGGGCAAATAAAAAAAATGGGGCCCACTGCTATCAAAGCTAGTAAGGTTTTTTGAAGTAAAATCATTAAATATACAAATACTTTAAAAATGCTAAGCAACTTTATCATCAGCTCTTTTTCGTGCATGGGCAGGTAATAAAACTATTAAACACTAACAACACAAATACTTGGTAGGTATTGGGCAATAAACTAAATAGAAAAGATTCAAGGGATTATTATATATTTATTTATTCATAGATACGTTACACCAGCTTACTGTTATTTAACCTATCGCCATGCAAGCTATTTACAAAAATTATCAATAGAAATATTTTCTCCAGAAGTACTTGCATAAGGCTGACTAAAAAACTTGTAAATTTTGGACAATTTTTGTTTACTTTCTTCTCTTTCTTTTCGTTAAAATTTTTTTTGTCCATAATATTAGTTTTCTAATTTATTTATGCAATATTTATGTAAGATTGTACTCAAGTAGGTACTCACTGTTCAATGACAACGTTAAAAGTAAAAAAGGAAAGCGAAACGATAATGATACGATACAAGACGTCCTTGGGGAATCCCCTGCAACCATTTTATCGCCGCCAGTGTTACCACATTTGACGGTTTACAAAATGACAAAAAAAACATCACGTAATTAATGGACGGCCCCCTACCGCATGTGACTTTGTATTTTTCACGGTATTTTGAGTTATATAGTGAGTAGCCGAAATCTATAGATTTCTTTAAGTAACTATGTATACGTACTATAATCAAATAAAATTGAACGTTTGTGTGGACTAGTACAATGGACCAGGACTTTTTAACCATTCTCAAAAAAAAATCTTGACTCGAAGTTCACAATCGCGAATCACAAAAACCCATATCGATAAATAATAATATGCAGATATTGATATCCGACAAATTGATGAAAATATTAATAACACCGTCAACCCACACAAATAATTTAGGGGAATTCCCTTTTTATAACTTTGGAATTTCTCACAACCGAGTTGCCATGATTAAACTCGAGTTGTCACCTGTGATATTTATTGACAGGTGACAAGTCGATTGACAGGTTGAATTTTCAAAAATTGAGTTCGATTGAGATTTTCTGTTAAAGATTCGAGGGCCCCTGAGCTTGAGGGCCCCGGGGCACTGCCCCGCCTAGCCCCTTGGTAGCTACGCCACTGATTTTGTTAAATATGGACGAAGCTGGTGCAGGCCCGAGTGGCCTCCAACAATTACCTTTGACATTTCAGGAAGTTTTTCCAATGTCTTAATCAATAGTCTAATAATATCTGAATAAATGTTTAAAAAAATAATAATGAAAATATTATTTTGTTTACCTTTCTTTTCTGCGCATAGATATAACTAAATCCTATTCTAATTATATACACTTACAATTAGAATGTATCAAAAGAACAGAAAATGCTGGCCTCATTTCAACAATAAAAAAATATATTTGTAAGTTTAATAATAAATATTAATATAATATTTGGAACTACCCGATAATTTTTCCTCCAGGTTCTTTACAAAGTATGGAAATAGTTATTTAGGTGAAATTCTAACCCGGGAGCTATTAACAGGAAGACTTCGGCAGGTATATGTAAAAGCCTTTTTTCACTGTATAGATCATTGTTAACCGTCGAAAGATATAAAAGATTCTCTAATCAACGTCTATATTTTTTTATGTTAGTCACGCCTTAACCTTTTATAATTCCGGTTACACTTAAAAATGCTTAAAAAATTCACCAAATTCTCCTTTTTAATTGAAAGAGCAAATAAAAATTGTCTCAGGCAAGAATGTGAGAAACAGATTCCATTGCCTTAAATTTAAATATTTGTGAACGTAAGCCAGCTGTTTGTCTGTCACGCTGTCAGTTGTCATCACGTTTGTCAAAAGATACCGCCGAAAGCATGGAATAAAAAACACTTTATCCATTAATTATTAAGCTGACAGTCATTTTATTCTACTCCTTATTTGCATTATACACCATTCACAATGTTTGCTAAAAGTTACAAGTTAAAATCCAACAACACGTTGAAGAATTCTGAAAAGTAAGTAAGATGTCTTTGTAACTTTCCATTTTCCAATTTGTAGAGTTGCAGAAGGAATTTTCTTGAAATTTCAGAAAAAACCTCATCCAACGCGTTGTAGAATCATTCCCTGGCGTTACTGAAGATACTGTTAAGGAAATAGTGCCAGTAAAATCGAACAGTAGTTGTATGAAGGTGGTGCTGCATTCAGGTGTCATAGTCAACGTTTACGTGGTGGATGGAGCTCCGATGATCATAGAAGATGAAAAAGGCATGCTACCAACTGTCTGTGCCCTCTGGAAGGTGCCACAATTAGTACCAACCCTGATAATTCACACTCCAGTATTATCAAAGGTATTGTCATTGCAATGCAACCTGCCCTATATATATATATATAATTCTCAATCTTTTACTTCTGAGATATCCTTGCCTTGTTTCTGTTGCCTACCTCACTAGGGATCTAATGTAAAGTTATAAATAAGATTTATTGAAATAGGATACATATTCTTTCATTATAATTAGAATTTTTGTTAACTTTGCCTAAATTTAGAACAAAAATAATACTTATATAATAAAAAAATATGGTTTGTTTTCACATTTAAATATTAAGCTATTGTTGAAATATAGTGTAGTACGTTTAGTATGACTTCTCATATAACCAACTGTTTATAATGACTGAATTCCAAACACAATTGACAGGCTTATAAAGATGAGTAATGATGTGTTTACATATAAATCAAAGAAAAGAAAAGCCATCTCTGCCCCATGAACCCTCTTACCTATGCATTGCAGACTGAAGCGACTGATTACTACAATTCCTAATTTGCAAGTGACAAGCGAGTATGTGTAAAAAAGGGCTAAGTTAAAAAGTTTCTCTATTAAAGAAAAAAGTATTTTAATACAATGTTTAGAAGCTGGTAAGTCGAATTTAACATTTGTGAAGGAATTCATTGTAAACCATTCAACAAATACAATTCTTACCATGTATGTGGAATAAAAAATATTTTTATTTCAATGTTTCTTTTTGTCTGCTGTTCACCTTAAAAAATATATACATTACAAATATAATTATTAAAAATTAAAAATGGATTGTTTGTTTAATAAGACTTTTAGTTAGTACAATGCAATATCACCGTTCTTATATGTAGTTGATATAACAGAGATTCTACTTTATTTTTTTTGATATGCCTTATAAAAAAGGCATTATGAGAAACACTAGTGTGATTGAAACAAACAATTTGTTTTGTAATATATGTAGAAAGGTTGCCATTAGACTAGGTCACAAAAACTTTTTAAATATATATTCTTGTTGTCTGATTGTGATTGAATATACTGTTATATAACATATGTTTCTATTTGGTGCATATGTCGAAATAATGCCATGATATGGCAGACACTGTTATCATGGGTGTATAAACAAATATTCCATTTAATTTAAGCCAAAAACCATATGGTGTTGGATCCGGCGAACTACTTGCCGGATCCTCCCCCTCCCCCCCCCCTCTTCCCCACCGAGGGTAACCTGTAGGACTCATAAGTAGGCGAACCACGCTTCAACCTAGCCTTCTCGGACAAGGTGGTTGTAGAGACCTGCAGGGCGATATTATAAATTTTTTTGTAAAAAGATACAAAACAAATTTGAACTTATTTCACTTATGACTCGAAACATTATTACCAATTCAAAATTGAACGGGTACCACTTTTGAGTGAATTGGGACACCTGTGTGAATTCGAAGTCGGTTTGGATTCAAAAAAAATCGCAGGCCTGGTTTAAGTTTTGCATTTCACCTGCATTACCAAAAAAAATGATTTATTTTTCTTTTGTATTGTTTTTGTCTTAATTATTTAAATTAAAATAAACATCTAAATAGTATTTATCCTATGCTGTTATGGTTAGGTAGCGGGCGGGGCGCCGTTGTACCTGCCGGGTGTTGAACGTTGGTCGGCTGGGGGCCCGGGGCGATGGACGCGCGGCGCGGCGGTGGCGGCGTGCACGCGCGACAATTGCGCCGCTGCCCTCGTCGGCCGCGCCACGCTCGATCACAACGAAATGAGACTCATGGCTGCGTACGTTAACTTATACATAAATAACTACCTCTTTTCCCGTGACAATGCTTGCATAATATAAAGCCTATGTTACCGTTATTAGCGTATAATGTAGCTTCCTGTAGGCTATAGAATATTCAAAATCCAATCTTTGCAAACAAACAAAGAAATTAATCTTTCCTCTTTTTATAATTATTTTAGAAGTATAGACAGGCAAACGTGATTAACTGACCTATTCATACCCAGCACAAAGTACTGGACAAATCATGCTCACATTAGGCTTGTATCCTACAAGTGCTAACAGGTTTCTGTTATATGTTTGGTGACCATTTTGAATTATTAATATTTAACAATATGAATTATGTAACACTCGTTTGGAAAATATTACTCTTAGAAAACTTAAAATAAAGTACTATTTATTAATAAATTTATTAGAATGGGGTTAGAAAATCATGTAGTTCACATGGGCGTAGCGGCATGTAGAAAGCAAAATCTTTTATATAACTAGTTAACTTTAACTACCAACTACAAACGAGCTTTACAAAATAGAGCCTATAATTAGAACTTAACTTAATTGTATGGAGGGAATGCCGCTTTATTTAAGTAGTAGGCGTGAAATAATCTCATATTATTATATTTACATTAATTATCCTGAAAATTGACAGATCAAAAATTTTGGCTCTCATTTTTTTATGTCTCCCTTTATTCGAAAGAAATATATATACCGCCCTATAAAATTGATTAAATTTATAATAACACTTTTATTATGATCTTAGTAATCTTTGCCAGAATCTTTTGAGTCCCATTCTAGTAAGAGGCTTTTATGAGAACTTAGAAGCTATTAAAAATATTTTGTAAAATTTTGTTTAAAAAAAAACTACCTACCCTGTTGCAGTGGTGTATGTCTAGATATAATTCACGTGTTCGGCGACCAACTGTGCAAGGACATCAAATTCAACAAAATAGAGAGGCCTAAATTAGGAACCGCCTCTTATCCTGAGGAAGACATCGCCGAACTCGCGACCGAGCTGAGTGAGGTAAAGAAATTTAAATTGTATATATTCTTTGCACATATATACAATACATAGTGTTTAAAAGACCATATAGTGGTATATTATCTAATTATTATTTAATTGAATACCTACCTTGTGACGGTTCAAATATAACGCTCAGCATTAACCAACTTCCACATATATAGCTAAGTTTAACAACTGTTGCGGCGAAATAGTCTGAGTTGTCAGTTTATGTAACAGTAATTAATTTTTAAACTTATGGTCCATATGGGTTCCAGATGACCGTTCATCCATTGAAAGAAGAGTGGCCTAGCCTCATTCCCACTCCTGCCCCCTCTCTTACGGCTACCCCTGTCCCCCATCAACCCCGCCTCATCACAGAACACCCGCCGCAGGAACCTGATGAGGACAATCAACAATTACACGACAAAACTAACATAGGTAAATGTATATGTATGAAAATTACTTACCTCACATACTTATCAATAATAAGCTCTATGAAAAATGGCATAAATAAAAGCCATAAACATTTTGGAATTTATAACCTTTTATTTATGAAATTAAATATTATATAAACAAATATATATAGATGTCAAAATTGTTTGATCTAAGATGATGGTGATGCTGAAGATGGGAACAAAGTGCAGGATATTCCATTAGACATGGATGGATTGCTGCACTGGTGCTTGCTGAGTTTCCTTAAACTGAATGGGAAACGAATAGAACTACCGTTGAAAACCAACCTTTTGTACAAGTTAGTACATAACGCTACCTTTAATTGAGAAAGCAACATAAAATAGTTTCTAATCACCTGTGTGTCACTAATAATACAATTCAAATTAATATTCCATTAATTAATGAACATTGATAATTTTTGTAATCATGATATGATTCTATAAATATTCGGGTATATATTTCTAAAAACACAAAACATACCGTGATATGTAAACAAGAGTACTTCCATGTACCACAGGTACTTATTTTTTAACAACATTAAATATGTTAATAGAATGTTGTTGCCGTTTATTGAATAACCACTAAACTGTATTAATTAAGTAGTTAAACCAAAAAAGTATTTGTGTTTCAACCATTTCAGAAATCACCTTATGCCGCTTTGCCCGGCTGATAGGACCCTTGACATAAAAAAATCCAGTTACAAGAAATTAGGCAAGTTTCTGGAGGCTATGCAGCAGGTAATGTACCTGTCAATATTGATAAAGAAATGACTAATATCAAACAGTGATTATCTATTTTTAACTATCAGATAAATCAAATTTTAACAAGTGCAATTATTTTTTAAATGTCGTTTGACTCGAAATTTGTAGGGAAAATGATTTAATTTAAATTCAGATGGTGCATTGTAATCGTTTCTTTTTCTTATATTTTATTAGAAATTAATAATCAATGTTGAAAAATAAATTTTACCTTCAGTTTTTTCATTTTTCATTATATTCTGAGATATAATAAAAACTAATATAAATCAACATTTACATTTAAAACTTACACGTTATTTATTATCTCACTCATTTACACACACCATAGACTTCGTTTATTTCCCGGGCTGGATTGAAATCAAGATTGAGCCCATCGTAAATAAAAACTTGTTCATATATGTTCGTAAGGAAGGCCTGGTGGAGGTGCGCGAGATAGAGAAGGGTGTATCCGCGCTGGTAGCGCTTCATCTCGCTCACCCACAGGTGCGCGCGCACTCGCCGCCTGCGCCCGTTCCCGCTCCGGCGTCCGTCCCGCCCCCGCCCGGCGGTTACGTACCGCCGCGGATCATGGAGGTGTACTGCCTTACCGCGGCTGCTGTCGATATCTTCCCTGAACACAAGTCAGTGTTGCCATATATCGATACTCTATTGCAGGAATAGCGAACAATTGACACGCGTGGTATTAATGGCACTTATTATGCACTACAGAAAATGTGAAATAGGAGTCTCATATGATACTATTGTTAATAACCTTAAAATCGAAATTATTTGATGGCACGTCTATGCCCTCGAGAAACATTTCTTAATAAAAAATACCTTTGTACGTAAACTACTGATTCGATTTCGATAAAATTTAAATGGTACCACCTCGAACCATTAAGCTGTCGAATAAAAAGAATTTTTAAAATCAGCCAACAACTGGCGAATTTATCAGTTTAAAAAAACATACATCGCCTTCGAACATATAACCTACTATTCCTTTTGGATTTTGAAGTAAATTTAAAAGACAAAACTTCATATGTAATATTTTGTGAGTTTTTATTATTTATTATAAATTAAAGAAATCCAATAAAGAATGTGCTCAATAAAACTAATAAAAAAGCAATTAAAGTTCAATTCAACATTTAAATTTGAGCCTGCTAATCGCTCAACAATGAAATGGTAAACCGAATAATTCGGCCAGATATCCGGTTCGCTAAAGGTTAGGCCGAATAATACTCGGTTATTCGGTTTAACCACTATTCGGCGCATCTCTAGTAAAAATCATTCCTCATCAACTGTGAAGATTATCTGTGCATCAGAGGAAGTGTTGCATCATAAATTAACGAAGAATATGTTTCTCTGTAAACCAATACGAAATAGAATAACCTTCAAGTGTTCATCTCATATTAATTCGTTAAATTAATTATGAAAAAACAAATATTTTATACTCGTTGTCGCATGAACGCATACAGCGCGAGACATCACACCCCTCTTACTCAAATCAACACTTAAAGAATTTAACCTGTCTTTCCACTCTGACCAACTCAGACAGATCATTTTTCTTTCTCAACGAAGCAACTTTTTTGGTAAATCCGATAGGAATATTATATTAATTTAAATTTTCCCATCCACACAACTTCAAGCGGTTCAACTATTTTTCTTTCTCGTCAGTACAACTTTTTAATGGACTATAAAATCGAAAAGTGCGAAGTTTTATGTTCGACGCTGATGTCTTTTTTTTTAGGTATGTTCTTTAGGTAGGTTATATATATATATATTTATTATTATATACACAAAATCTCCAGGACTTCCGTAATGTTAACATACATTTTTATATAGATATTTGTTGTGCTACCAACATAAAGAAAAAATATAAATATCACTAAACATTTTCTTATAATTTCTTCCTTATTCATTCTTTAAAAAAGTGGGAAATAATGTATTGATTTCTTATATTTGCACGCACATAATCCATAAATGAAACAACTTGAACGTTTTCATCGCGTTTGTATTTTCTTTCATTTATGTGATTTCATTTACGCAACTAAAACTAGATTAAAAGACCAGTTCATTAGTGAAGTTTTAATACGAAACTTGAACCAACTGAAAAGTTGTTTCCTTGAGAAAGAAAACTAGTTGATCCGTTTCGTTGGTCAATTTATTCGATCGGAATGGAATATTTTTTCCCAAAACATGATATGCGATTGTAATAAAACCCTTCATCGAGTTCCATTCTGCACAACCAATTGGTCAGTTTAGTTGGTGATGGAAGTACACATAAATCTTATGCATATATAACTAGTTATATATTTCATGCAATAACTATAACTGTAAAAAAGTTATCTGCTACAGTTGTCAAGTCGCGGAAAACGACTAATTTGAAATAAAGTATAACATTTAGATTGATTGAATACTTGTACTCACGTCTCAGGAAGGGCACCGTGTTGGACGCGGAGATGATACGCTCTGGCGTGTCGCAATACGTGCGAGCCAAATCGCTGCAGACACAACAACGTATAAAACTAGATAACACGCTAGCCAAGATACTGCACAAAAACGCAGAGGTACGTTATATTTCATCCAACATGATGTCTAAAAATTTTAAAAGTTGAATGTTGATTAAGATAGCTTTTGTCATTGCGACTGGGTAAAAAAAAGAAATTCTATTTAATCCGTCAGTCAGATGATAGAAAAATATAAGATACGTATTTTTTTACTTCAATTTAACAAGAAATAGCTTAGATAACATAAAAGTTGAGAAGTGGCAGCTCGCTGCGTCATTGTTTTGTAGATAATGTACAAAAGCGTGATGTCATGTGATATTTTAACTCAGTGTAAAGCCGTAATTTAATGATAACGAAATAATATAAAAAATACATGTTTAATATTTTTCAACAATCTACCTGAGGGATAAACAAAGAAAAATTAGTTGTCACATCCTTTTATGCGATATTAATAAAAATGCATTTGATTTATTTTTAGAACTGCTTAAGAAAAAACTAACCTACACGAGTGGTATATAAATATAAATAATGTATGTTTTATTTTTCAAAAGGTTCGGGTTCGATTTCCGAACTGAGGTTATTTTTTATTTTATCTAATCTATCTAAATATATATAACTCAAAGGTTACTGACTGACATAGTGATCTATCATCGCACAGCCCAAACCACTGGACAGATCGGGCTGAAATTTGGCATGCAGGTAGATGTTATGACGTTGGCATTCGCTAAGAAAGGATTTTGATCAATTCTATCCCCAAGGGGATAAAATATGTGTTTGTATGAAATTGTCAATTTTAAACCGATCGGGCTGAAACTTTGCATGCATAAAGCTACTGTGACGTAGGCATCCCCTAAAAAGGATTTTCATCAATTCTATCCGCAAGGGGATAAAATAGGGGATAAAAGTTTATTTCAGGTATTTTTTATAAATAATAAATATTCGTTAGAAATGCTGCTCAATGAAACTTTACCTCGCGGACGAAGTCGCGGCCAAAAGTTAGTTGTAATATATGAATGCAGTTTTTCTTTTCACTAATATCAAAGACATGTTTCAAATATAAGAAAAGATCTTCGTATGTCTTAAAGTTTCTATACCGACCACTTTAAATGTTACACCTTGTTGTTCCAATGTATTGCCTAGATTGTCAAGTTCTAGTATATTGTATAAGGCGCCAAGTTCTAGTGTATTGCCTACTTCAAATTTTCTTGAGCCGGCCCTGCTAGTATATAAAATGTAATTGTGCTCCTGCAGGAGGTGGTCCCGTGGGACGAGGTGATGCGCGGCGTGCAAGCCGTCCTCACCGCCGCCACCCTCCTGGAGGATGACGGCGGCACCAAGCTCATCCGCTCCAGGCTGCCACCGGTCACCATGACCGTGGCCACGCGAGCCGGGAACAAGAAGGTCACACTCTATACTAAACTCACATGTTTACTGATAAAAATACTCGGAAAGAACGAGTCGTAGCTCTCTGAATGACAGTTACGACTGTACTCAGTGACTCATTGTAGTTTGATGGATGTTAATCCTCATTCCTGTTAGTGTCTTCTAAAATAGAAAAGATTTCGAATTAAAAATGACATCGCCTTATCTATCTATATTAACATTATAAAGAGGTAGAGTTTTTTACTTTGTTTGTGTGTAGGGATTAATCTTCCGTAACCTATCATTAAAATTATTTCGCCTAAGGGAAGCTATAGTGGGCAAAGTCGTGAGAAAGACAGATCAGCTCGTCTTTTATAGCCCTCATTGGCAACGAAAGTAGTGCCTATATGCTTCTTTTTTTCCAATGGTAGTAGCAGTAGCTTAAAAAGAGAATAAAGACGTGTATATAATGTACAGTAATACGATATGTGCAGGTGACCCTGGTCTCTAACCTAGAAGCGTTCGGGTTCAGACTTGGGCAGTTGACGCATGAGGTCCAGCAGCAGGCCGCCGCCGCCGCCTCCGTCACGCGCTCGCCCGGTTCCAAGCACGACCAGCTCATGTTGCAAGGAGACCAGGTCATGACCGCCTTACTACGTATAGTCTCATCAAAATAAATAAATGAAGTGAAAGCGTAACCCATTTATTCCAACATAAATGTAAAAATAACAACTAGTTTGAAAATTTTGTCAACTATTTTGTATTTATTTCAAACTATTTATATGATGTAATAAAATGGTGTCCGTCAGGCTAACGGACTGAATGAATTCTTGACCGATTTAGTTCCTTGTTCATCAGGACGTTAAGAAATTGGGATAAATTGCTAAGTTACTTAGCCATGGAGGTGAACGAGTTTTTGTGGCGCTGCTAGGCTGACTTCTTTCCAGCATTGCCACGATATATCTTCTTAAACTAAAATATCACTATTTTAAATATTTTAGAGTGATCTCATAAAACATTAAATTTTTGAAATCCTGCGATTATTCAGTATTTTAGTATATGTGTAGCATGACAAACTCGAGAAATGCTTTGTCTACACCAGTGGCATAACTATATCGTTTGAGGCCCGTGGCAAATTCATCGGACATTTTATTCTTGTCAGGAATAAGGAGTCTCCTCTTGCCGGGGGCCCCTTCCAGCTGGGGGCACGTGGCATTTTGCCGACTTGCAACCCTGTAGTTACGCCACTGGTCTACACCAAACGTCACTCTTTTGCGGTAGAGAAAAAGATGGCGTATGTGCGCACCCGAGAAATTGTCGTTTGAGTGTAGACAAAACGGTCTCAAGTTCGTTAAGTTACACGTACAGAAAATGGAATAAATTACGCAAAAGATATAAGTAACTTAACCACAAAGTATTTTACCACTCTGACTACTCCAATTGTCTCTAGCCTCATATTTTGTGATGTAATACTGCTATATAATGATAAATCCAGAATCTAAATATTTTAAGAATGACAGTCACGCCTTCCGACTTCTATTAGCAATTAGAAAATTTTCCTGATGGTAAAATCATAGCAAATACATTGAAAGAATCCCTTGCGTAATTTACTACACTTCCTGGTACCTTGGAATACCACCACGAATTGTTAACTCTAAAACTAGTTCTTTCTAACAATTGTAAGTTACATCTAAGAGTGAAAGAGAAATAAAATTTTAATATTATTACCTTCGAGTGGTGAATAGTTGCAGAATGATAAGTTTCAATGTTTCATGCTGGTGAATGCATGCTAAATTGACATGACGTTTTAAAAGAAATAAACAAAGTACTATAGTTTAGAAGATATGGCGCGACGTTGCCAGAATGATATATCCCAGCAACACCACAACATCTCTATAATTATTTATTTGAGCGAATTGTCACCGTTATGTCCCAGAATTAGTACGATGGACACCTTAAATCTCGTGACTATTTCTTAATAATTATTTCAACTGTGCATCTCATTAAATTTTTTTTTTCCAGACTCATTTTATAGCGAAACTCCTGATAGAAAAGTATGGCCTACCCAAGAAATATTTGGAAGGAGCTGACAAAGCACTAAAGAAGAAAAAATGATTAATAATACAATGAGACATTCTAAAATTTTATGAAAATGAGTGATCTATAGTGGTGATTACTAAATAAAACAAACTTTTGCAGTTACTTATATTTATTTATTTTAAAAACCTCCTAGTGACACATAACTCTTCATATCTATAACAAGATACTGCTTGATAACATGTTCATACTCTAATATGGCAACTATGGGACAGTCATATCACAAAGTAGACATACTACCTTCTTTTATGCTCATGACTGCACCAACACAAACTACATATTTGAAAAAGAAAAAACATTTTATTTATCCAATATAAAAACCTCATTACAAAAAACCATTGGAAGACATTTAAGACTAAAAAGTATCTTATTTAATACTTATAAAATATATTTTTATTTCTAAGACATCCTCATATAAATGAATACAATAAAAAATATATTTATCTTCTTGATGAATTCATTATTAAAATGTAAAAATTTCTATAATCTAGGGTTAGGGTGGGTTGGTGTCCGTATTTCATCATTTTACATACAACACAATATATAAGCATTTTTATAATGTCTACTTATTAACTAACAATTACACACAAGTTTTCCTAAAATTCATATACAAAATTTAATGAATTTATTTTATGAATCTCAAGAAATATTTATGTACAAAACTGTTAAAAATTTCAGACATGCAACAACTATTCAGTTGCAACTTATCTATCATTATTCTATCTTATCTTAACCTACAATTACCACAACCAATTTTATGTATAAAATAAAGAAAAGGATTTTTATAACTTAATTTTAAAAGGACCTTTCAGAAATTGATTTGAAATCACAAATATAAAATAAGTATGTAGACAGGTTTTGTTGAGCTCATGCTGTATAAAATTAAGAATTGCACATAACTAAACTTTAGAAGTTTTGTTGAACTTGAAGGGTGTTTTAAATGGTAGCAAAGACTTCCTCTTAGATTTCTTCATATCTGAAGGAGCTACAGAGGTTTGCATTAAAGGTTGTCTTACACTAGAATATTCTTTTTCTGATGTAACACTCTCACTTGCCTTGCTACTCAAATCCATGCTCCACTGGCCCTTCAATGAAGTACTTGAAAATCTTGAACTAGCTGAACTTTTTGAGGCTAAACTTGTCTTTGAAGGTGTCTTCCTTATTTGACTCTCACCCATGTTAGTGATGTCAGAAAATATAGCCTTAGTAAGCTTAGCTTGCTTCGAAGGTGATGAATGATTCCAATTCTTTGCAGCTCTCTTCTCAGAAGTCATCCTATCCACATCTAAATATTTGAACTTAGTGATATCTTTAACAACTTTTTCCTGCTTGTGAGGTGTTTGATGCCCCTCCTGATTTCCATTCCCTAATTCATAAAACGTAAGAGTGACACTTTCATCACTATCGGCAAAGGGGTTTGAGGATGTGAAATGAACTTTCTTTGTGCCAACATCGGGAAAGATGGAGCGGCGAGGCATGTTTTCTTTAGTAAATTTAGTGGATGTTACCATGATGGTGCTATCCCCATCATCAGCTGACAATGTGCTGTCGAGATCTTCATAAGCATAACTCTTGCGCCGTGGCCGTGCGCGCACTGAACTAGAGCGTCTGTGGCGGCGTCGAGACACCCACTCATCTTTCTCACAACTAGCTTGGCTTATAACTACAGGCAACGTGATCCCATTACTAGTACTAGGACAGAGATTCTCAAAAGAATCTTTCAGAGGGATTATCTTGACAGCAGGACTATTCACTATCTCCTTTGCAATCAATTCTCTTTCCCTTTTGTTGAGTGACTCCTCTCTTTGTCTTAAAGCAATAAGACGATTCATCCATTCCTGACTAAGGGTCTGCTCGGATACTTGTTGGGGGCAGTTTAGATTGTCCAATACAGCAGTATAAGGTTTTCTACTTCTTGGTACAAAACCAGGCAGCTCTAAAGCCAAAGCAGCCAAAGTAGGAGACAGGGAGCCTTGGTCAGATCTAGGTTGTTCGATTTGTTTAATTAACTTCGCTTTAGGACTTATATTACAGTATACTGGACTACTTAGTAAATTATAACACTTCCTAGGTGCAGGTTGAATAGTTCTGCTCATTTCAACGGCCTTCTGGGAGTCGCATTTATTTACTTCTGTAGCAAGATGTGAATATTCAGCTGAGACGAGGATATCAGCCAATTTTCTTGGCCTACTCTGAGTTTCTATGTTCGCAAGCACAGTAGGATGATACAATACGACGTCAGGGCGTAAATTGACGTTCTTGTCATCTGTTAAAAACATAACAACGTCGCAGAGGTCGTCGCTGTAATGGTAGCTCTTAATATTGGCATCGGAATCGTTATCCCTGTAACAAAGGGCTTGAATCACATCTCCCGTCTGGCGCATTAGGTCCTTTCTGACCGTCGATGCCAGCTCGAAGCAATTGAATCGAAGATCGCCGTCCTCGTTTACAAACATTGACTGTACAGATAAACATTTCTGTAGGACGACTAAATGTAAATCCTCTACAACCTTACAGACCCTCGCCAACTCTAAAAGTAGATACCAAACGAAGCCTTCTGCGAAGAACTTATCGGTAGCTCTGCTCACCTCGACCAGTTCTTGCAAACTACGCCACGAGTTGTATTCAAGGACAAAGTACAATGTCTTCGACGGTATGTGCAGTATGGTGTCATAGTACTGCAGCAAGTTTTCGGAAATAACGTTGCTTATCGTTTTCACTTCGTTGACTATGTTTTGTATCTGGGAGTCGGAGAACGTCGAGCAATTGTACGCCTTCCACGCAAAAATATTGTTGGTGACCTTGTGCCTCACCTTATAGAACGTACCGCCACACAACACATCTATGACTTGATATTCTTTCAATTTTTCCGACATTTTTCATAGAATAATTGATAACTTCTAAAATTTTACATTTTGCAAACGAAACAAAGCCCACGTAATTTTAAACTGCCGTAGCCGTTATAAAACTAGTGATGTATATTTCGATCGATAAAAAATGACATCTTTATCATCGATATAACGGAACGTAAAGGAGAGAGTATCGTATAAGTTAACTATATATAAATTAATTTTTCAAAATTCTATATCATAATCATATATTGGATATCCGATACATTATTTTTTCTATTTAATGAGGAAGTATTTGAGATAAAACATTAGGTCCCGAAATCAAACTAGATGTCGCTACGGTACTTTCTTGACTTCTCCATGACAACCCTTCCGGTTTTCTTTCATGTATAGAATTAATCAATTTTCAAAACCCAATAAACAACTCATATTTTGTTTTAACTTTTGGGCTTTTGTATTGAAATCTAAGTTTGAACTTTGCAAATTTCAGTTTTTTAATATGTTATTTTAAAGAAACGTTAAAAGTAAAAAGATAGCCATTTGGGCTATATATGGTCCATTCGTTACCTGCAAAAATCAACTTTTGTTGAAAAAAATGAACCGACATGAAACCTTAAAAAAGTAAAAAAATAATACTTATCTTAAAAGCGACTTATTCTAGAAAATGCTATTGAAGTCGGACGCTTAGAAATTAATTAATAACCTATTGAAAGCCGCCGCCTGGCTTTAATATCATTTTATTGATTAAGTCTCTTATGAGTTCAGTATTAGTTTTCACTTTTTTAAGTTTGAAGTCGGTTCTATTATTTTATTGATAAAAAATCCGTGATATGCCCGTCTCCTAAGTCGTTGACGTAAAAAATAGATATCATCTAATCGAGAAACAAACGACCAATTACGAAATTAGTGTCATGCATGATAAAATAAGTTTCATGAAAATCTTATCACAAACAATTTTCGTTTGTTTATTAGAAAACCGGAAAGGTTGGAAAAATCAAGTACGTACCGTGGTGACATCTAGTTTGTTTTGGGGAAATATTTTTTTTAATACTGGCTCATTACTAGAGATACACCTAATATTCGGTATTCGGCATCTTATTCACTATTAGTATTCAGTCGAATATTCGTTTTGGTGCCGAATATATTTGGTGTGGGTGCTTATATTTTTCTTGATTACACAAAATGCCAAAAAACTAAAAGACAAAACTTTTATTGTAACATTAATTTTTAAACATTCAAACGTTTAAACGTTACATTTTAAACATTCGATGAACGATCCTAATTTGGAACAGTTCTGAAATAATTGTCGATTTGATATTATATTTTTGGCCACCGTGCCTGCTAACGTATACGAAGCCAAATATGACTTTTTCAAAATAAGGGCTAGAAACCAGCAATCTAAACCATTTCATGTTGATAAACAATAAATTCCATTTAAAATATTAACATTTTTTACTTACTGTTTGATTACTTTTTCCAATAATACAATTAGCACAAATTATCTGTACTTTATCGCTTTGAATCGTTGAACGTAATGTCTAATAATTTGTCAGTTTAGAATTACCAAATACAACAAAAATCCCTTCAGTTCTACTAATAAATGTAGAATGTTGTTTAATCATTGTTTCCGAAAAATATTATAGTTTAATGTGTTGAAAAAGTAAACAAAATCTATTTTATAAACTATATATATTTTAAAAACAATATTTTTAAACTTAATTCAGCGCATCTTTACTAATTACAGCTACAATACAACAGCACATATTTGGCATAATATCGTCTTGCAAGTAAGAAACAACATAATAATGTCGTTATAATAAATGATTATCAAAGTATTATATACCTATATTAAATAAATATAATATAGGTATACTATATTATAGATAGAAATGAAGTCCAAGGTCAATTATTATCGACATAACGGATTCTTGACTAAAAAACGCTTTGGTTTATTTTTCCATTTAGCTATGTTGGCTATCCTGTATATAATGTTACCTTAATCAAAAACAAAGTTTAGCAAAATAAATATGTTCTTATGTACACATGAAAACAAACTATTTTGTAAGTACACAAACTATTTCGTAAATCCACAAGTTTTAATATATTTTTAATGCTGTCAAGTACCCATTTGGTATTTGAAAGATTCACAAACTTCTCGCTACAACGTTAGACACGTGACTTTTTTTTTTTAAAGATATTGTACGAACAATGTCGTTAATTTAACGTTAATAGGAGTTGTCTAAGATCAAACAAAAATGATAATTCTTCGATTAACAATATAACTAGATGGCCAGTCAGAGTTTCAAAAATGGCCAAAGAAATAACGCCTCACTTATTTTAATTTTGTTTGTTTACGACGATGCCAACGCTCAGACGTATTACAATGCCATAGTGCGTATTAAAACTGAACTATCAGAATAAAAATGTTGGAATATTATATTATCGGTTATAATAATTAGAGTAAATGTCATTTTACAATGTCTAGGATTAATAACCCACGTATTTTTAATAAAATGACAGTTTTGTTTCTGAGCCACCCCACGCGCCAACAAGACCAAATATTCGATGTTTTAAGACAGCATATTTAGTGAGGAGTGTACTATTGAAATTTTTAACCAAAAAAATTAACACTAATTGAAAACAATTTTGGTGTAGTGGTTCGTGTTCTCGATAACAAAGCCGTGTGGATGAACATGATTTGTTTCGGTCTGGGTGTTTTAGATCCTACAATTTGATAAGTTTCTTTACAGGTTCCGTGTTCACATAAGATCAAAGAGTAAAAGTATATAGGTAGTAAACTCTCCAATTTTTAATCAACTGTATAAGGACGTTGACAGATATTGGTTTAAAGGGAGTTTCGTTAGATGGCGTGACTGTGTCAATGCAATGTAGGTAATATCAATGTATTATATTGGTATGGCATAATAGATGACTACAAGATTTTCCGGTTAGAAATCAAAAAAATAAATATGTAAATATAATAAATAGTAATAATTGTTCTATCTACGTAATGTTTATTTCAATAATACTAGCATTAATGCCGATTCAACAATCATATTTTATTCTTTCTGTTCTTCTAATAAACTGTCTTGCTTCTTTTTAACTTCAACATTTACGTACCAAGTATCACAATTACAATTATCTTTCAATAGGGCTTCTATTATCAAAATATTTATGTTCTAAATCTTATATTAAATTTCATAATATATATTATATTATGAATGAGTTTTCTTCTTTTTTTATTAATGGCTTATCTGCGCATTTCGCACAATTCTGCCTATGTCAAGTGAGTAAATTAATTTCTACATGTAGAATGAAAATTAAATTCATAAAACTTATTTTCGATATTTTCATTGAAGTCAGCAACTGTGTTGCTAAGCAATTTCAAATCCCTTGTTTGGTTGGCTGGCTAGAGTGCGCGGAAGTGCTAGTAATGCGAGCAGTGAGACGGGGGAGGGTGCGATTGACAAGACGCACATGAGATATTTAATGATAGATAAATCTCAGTATTACATGTTAGAATCTATCATGTAAAAACATCACTTAGAGATAGATTCAAAGAAATTGGGATGTTAGCAGTTGGGATATTACTCTCAATTTATATGCAATTGTATAATTTATGTTAGAAACAATATTCACAATTACATTAAACATAGTCAAGATGTAGACACTATTTAATAATAGATACAAAGATAAGACAAGGTATACACTACTATAACAAAATTCATATGGAGATTTTAAAATTTACATTGCCTAAGTTTAAACTTTGACTTTCACAAGTGCTTCTAAAAGCCTACACTGAATAAATAATTTTTATTTGATTTATCTTAATCAATGTAATGACGGTATTTAAAATGTAATATTTATTTATTCCATAGCTAAACAAAAATAATTTCATATTTGAAAGTGTTTATTAAATTTTATTATTAACGATACAGTTATATAAGCAAATTAGCATTAGTCAATAAACAAACCCAAACAATATCGGTATTTTCTTCTTCTTCAATTTAGACATAAAAAAGGTCTTAAATTTCCATGTCCTCATCTGAATCTGACTCATTTCCTAAATTTATGATTAACTCGTTTATCACATTGTTAAACCTCATGTCGTGGTTCCAATATTGGTTCTCAACTTTTTGTAAGTGGTCGTCACACTTTTGCCATTTTTGGGGGAGTGAATTCTGAAAACAATCTTATTATATCGGCCTACACTACATCAATGGGGTTGAAATCGGGATGATAAGGCGTAATTTCGGATTGAGTTCTTTTTATCAGAGAAAGGAGTTCGGATTTAGTATTTTCTGGCGTAGGTAAAGCCAACATTATGTTCGCGTAACCTGTTGAAGGTGTGGTCCTACTGGATGATGGAGACAACTGGCAAGGTAGAGTAAAGGGTAATAAAAAGAGTTGCAGTTCGTCTCGCTATCGATTGTTGTGGCGATGTTAGTGCGATGAATTAGATGTCGCTACGTATCAGTCGCCACAAACCAATCTTACATGACTCTTTTTAAACTTGACATTGTTGTTATTTTCTCAATTTGTACGTAATGGTAGGAGGCATTTTCCATCACAATGAATTAGAAGCTAATTTATTTTTCAATTTGTGATAAACCCAGTTATAAAAATTTGTGGTAATCCCCACATTTCGAATCTGGTTTGAATAGTTAACTTATCCTTCTCGCCTGCCATCATGAACAATCTCTAAACGACGCCCTTTTTCAATATTATTATAAATACCAGGCTCAGATTGTTATGAAACAAGAATAAAAAACTAAAAGTTGGTAAATTAAATTAAATAATTTATTTACAATAAATAAAAAAAATAAAAGGGACGAGGTGACTGGTGAGGTGAGAAGTGAAGTAGTGAGAATGAGAGTGTCAGTGTAGGTGATCTGGTGAAGGGGCGTGGGTCAGTGGTGAAGTCCGTTGCGTCAGCGTAGATCCGTCATCAGCGTAGGTGTTATGGTGATGGGGCAGAGGTCAGCGGTGAAGTTGCTTTCCGTCAACGTAGAAATGGTCGTCGTCAACGCAAGGCTTCTGGTGATGGGTCGTGGGTCAACGGCGAAGTTCCGGGGCGCCTTCTCAACGACGCGACTCTCAATGTGTCGAGCAGATGGTTCTTTCGTAGCCCAAAACGAATCAGCAGTCAGGCCTCCAGATGCAGACTCGAAGACAGCTTCAGGAGAAAGTATTTCCGTCCAAGCTTGAAGGTGGTGAAGGAGGTGTAGTAGAAAAATGTTAGTGTTTATTTATTGATATTTAATTACAGCCAAAATGGTGTCGAGTGACTTTGAGACCGTAACTTTGAAGAGTTCTTTTAAGAATTTAGCTAGCTCTGTACGAGCTCCAAAAAGCTAACTTGAGCAACTGTTGCCGTTGAAGTCATGCAGAACTATTTGGGCCAGGCTTTATATACCTTAAGACGAACTCAAATTTGGAAGTAAATGATTTCAAATTAGAACCCTAAAAATTCAAAAACTACAGAGTTTCAATGCCTAAAACTGACAAACAATGAGTCAATTTTCATGAAGACTATCAAATATAACCATAGCAACGAAGAAAAACTTTCATGTCTGTGATGTCTGTCAAATTTCTGTTTTTTAATATGTTAATTAAAAGGAACGGAAATGACTATCTTTGGTCCATTCGTTTCCTGCAAAAATCAACTTTTGCTAGAGTCGCCATCTAGTGGAGGTGCTTTTTTAATGCTTTCGTTTTTATTAAATACTTCCTCATTGTTTAAACGGAAATAGGCCATGAAATAAAAAAGAAGAAGAAAACAAATAAATATTTTTGGTCATATTCACAATATATATATATTTTTTTTATATTTTATGTCCACGTTTACATTTTTTAGATTAAATTACTTAAAAATACATTTGACTTATTTATTTCCCCTGGCTACCGTAATCTACCACCAGTTCTAAATTTGGGAGTCTTGTCTAAGAAAAACTGGTGAAACAAAATCTGACTAGAAAAGTGAATTGCTCCCTCTGATTTAGTATTCACAGAATGAACTAACTGTATCTTTTGGTTTTGCAAGGTGTAATCTGGAGTGCGATTTTATTTGACTAATTACTGGACCCCAAGCCTGTGGTATAGCCTAAGTAAGCTTAAGCTTAACCCACTTGTGTTATGGGTGTGCACGTTAGTTTTGTATTGGATCATACGGACCATTAACACACAGCCGCGAATAAGCAGTTTGTTATTATCTTTTTGATCAGTCCTATATCTGTATCATTTAACGATCGTAACGAGGAGTTTTTGAGTGTTATATGAAAATCACCCACTAGCTCGTGTGTTCATAAGATTTCAGACATTTTTTTACTGAAAAAATAAGCTGCTGCTGCTGAAAAGATTTCCTTTAAGCCGTAACTTCGTCTGTTACACAATACAGCGGTACAAAGAGACAAGTTCTGTGCAAGATCGCCAAAGGAGTGGTCAACCACGCTCTGTGATGACGCCTGCGATCATAAAAATCATCGGAGAGCGACTTTGCCAAAATCTATGTCGTACTCAGAAGAAACTCGCTCCGCAGACTAATATTTAGCGCGTTATAGTGAACAGAATACTGAAATACAATCGTAAGGCTTCTTAAGTTACGACGCGAACGTTGTCCATTGCTGCTGAGGAAACATGATGCGAGGAAGTCACCGACGAAAAGATTTTTTACTGTCAAAGAAAAGTTCAACCGACAAAATAATAAAGTGTATGCTAAAGGCAGGGGTCGGAAACCGGTATATTTTTCGAAACGTTTTCATCTTAAATACCTAAAAAACACTTTGTTTCGGTTTCGTTCGAACAGAACGATATAAAAAACGATTTCGGAAAAAAACAGAATTATATTGTTTTCGGTTAATAAAACGTTTTTAACCATTTATTTTGCGTTTTTTTGCATCGCATACTGTAAATAACGTAATAAAATAAATGTACGCCGCCCTTACAGCCCGCGCGGCACCGTCTTGCGGATTAAACCGGTTTTTTTAAAGCGTTCTCATTTCGTTTTCGTTCGAACGCAATCTTGCCCAAAGAACCATAAGAAACGTTTTAAAAACGTTATTTTGAATAACGTTTCCGAGCCCTGGCTAAAGGTATCAAGGATGTCCCAGCTTCTGTATGAGGAATGTCTCGCGCACTCATCATCCGGTTAGTGTGATGGAATGGTGGGGAGATTCGTATGAAGCTGTCACTCCGATCCATTTCTGCCAACAAGGTACCAAGGTGAAAGTCAAGAATTATCAGAGTGAAATTTTAGAGCCCGTGGTGAAACCTCTGTCTGATACGTCATTTCCCAATAAGGATTGAGTTTTTACACAATAAGGAGGAAAGCACCCAAGTTTGGTTGAGGGAAAATGTGCCGGGCTTCATCGCGGCGGACGAGTGGCCCTCCATCAGCCCCGACCTCAATCCGCTGGATTTATGGACTGTATTAAAGCTCAGTGCCTGCCGAAAGTCCCACCCAAACTCGGAGTCACTAAAGCGAACCCTTGTTCGAGAAGCAAACCGAATTCCGCTTGAAAAAATTCGTGCCGCCATTGATGACTGGCCAATTCGTCTAAGGGCTTATATTAAAACACAGGGGCGGTCATTTTGAATAAAATATATATTTTATTGTTGATTATTATCTATTTAATGTTTACCGTACAATTTAGAAATATAAGTTAATTATTTAAAAAGTTACGCAACTTTTCATCTCAAAACTTATGAACACACGAATTACAATATATATTTTGTTTTACTACTAACCCAACCAATAAATATCGGTGTTCCCGATGATTTGACAGTTAATTAATTGGCTGACATTTGTTCAGCCGTATTTTAGAGGGTTGCGTTTAGCTACTCGGCTGATCGTATGTAAACCTGGTAATCGAATGGCTCCATTCAATTAAAGAGCTAACCGACCAATTGGTCGGCTGGATTATACGAACCACTTAGCAGAGCATGAGCTAGGGCGTTTTTCAGCGTCTTGTAATGCCTTGGTGTCACGACCACCCTTACTTCCTAAGTCACGGATCCTATCAACTAAAGATTGTACAACCATGTCTTGGCCAAGATCAGAATTTGACTATAACGCTTTCCGGACGACTTTCTTAATCTCGAGAACCGTCTGATAATGAATTCAGCTATCATACTGTTAAATTTCTCTACTTTATTACAAATTTTAAATATTGGACAGTTCCAATCATTGGATGAAAACTGTATATTTTCATGTTGAAATTTTTAATGTTTTTTTTAATATATGATTGAGTTATATATATTCAGATATGTTTTAACGCTCCAGACACTCCACTATTTATCAATCGTCAACGTAATATCATCATAAAGGCATCAATCAACTTTTATAGCTTATATTTGGAAAAATAAACATGTAAAAAATTAAGATTTTTCTTGGACACAATCAATAACAACTACAAATATCGTTTGAAACATTTTATTAGTGAGTATAAGCTTGTATGCGGCACAGCTGACTAGCGCTTTCAAATATATTCACATATCACATGATTTCATCCTATACATTCAAAATAATAATAAACTTATCACACAATTGAAAGTATAGATATAATATGTTTATAATAAATTTATAAAAGCTGTTTATATAAATCATAAAACATACGTACTAACGTATGGTGAAACTTGATTTGGTAACGGTCACCTGTGACTTGCAATTTTTGGGATCGACTGAACGAGCAACATTATTATGACAACAAATCAATATGTCAACTGGTCTTCAAAAAGAATTGTGCGAATTTAGCCACTAACCTATTACCTATATACTTTTAAATACCTACAATATAATTATTATTTACATTATTTGTTTACAAGGATCATTGACTAGAAACCGTGTCTAGAAATAATAAAACGCATTCACTAATTAAGTTACATATAAATAAAGGAACATGTTCACTTTTAACATCAAAAACTAGTCGGGCAGGTTCCGTGGAATGAATCGTTTCAATCTTTGGTAATACATTTGAACATAACACAGTCTGCGAGGCGCTGACACGCATCACCCGAAGGATTCGGACGATCTCGTAGAGAGACAACCGGACTACACATCATAAATACTTTCAATTCATTGTTCTATACAATGCGAATTTCAATTATATATATTATGATAATAATACACTACCTAATATCACTCGCTTCATCGCAAACGAACACGAAGCGCAAAATAAAATTTAAAAAATATAACAACGTTAAAACAACATCGTAGAAAACAAACGATAACCAAAACTGACTAAACAACCTAAAAACTTGATGTAAAAACACTTGGCATGTCCGAAGAGAAATCGGAACATAATTAAATTTTCAATTACCGCTCCGAGCACACGGGAGCGGGGCGTGCTTCAATCGAATAATACATAGGGTGCTCCCGCGCCCAGCAGCACAGGAAATAATACGGATGAGATCATCATTGGACACTTTCACAGATCATGATCACTGGAATCTGCGACTCGGCGACGGCATCGCCGCCCTGGTGCGGTACAAAAATATCGTGTTGCCGGCGAAGCGACACATACAATACAATAAAAACTATCATTTTACTTTACCAGAATTTTCAAACATAAAAAAGCGTAGAAAACATAGTTTTCGATCGAGTCGATCGTCGAGGGGCGGCCGCATCTCGTCGACGAAAATACTCTTGAATTTCAGTCTGAGACGCGGTGCTTCGCGAACGCGTCGTTCCTCCCGAAGGAACGATCAGCCACGTTCCGGGGGACCGTCGCAATCTTCTTTTATAATGAGGCAACATGACGGTGACCTAACGCACGCCGGCGGTGCCGAGCCGATGGTGTGCAGAGGGGGGGCGCGCGCGTCCAGTCTTCCGTCTCGCTTCCACGATCTCGGGCTCCTTCTTTACCACGGTTTCTGTCACCTGAGGAACAGAGCAAGAATCGTTCGTTAAAGTTTTGCTATTGGGAGAAACGGGATCTTCAAGTAATTTCCATTTTTTTTATACTATATTTTACAAATAATACTGGTATCTTGCTTATAGAAATGTGACGTCACGGTTTGAAATGTCACGTGAATTATTACTGTTGCGAGACAATCTAAACGATTGAATTCAATTTATTATTCCTTTATTTGATAACATATTTTGGAGCAATATAAATCTGATAGTGGTTTGATATGATCTCTTAAAAATGTTTTTAAATACTTTTCCCAAAACAGTCAGGCAGCCAATTATATAAGTATCATTATTGTTTTAGTGTAGTAACCCCAGCTGGGGTAGGAATGATTCTCGGCGGTGTATATGTGAGTGTTGGTGCGGTGGTTACCTGCACGTGTGCCGTGGTGGCGGTGGGTGGTCGCGGGTAGGGGCGCGCGGTAGGTGGCAGGGGCAGGGGCGCCAGGTCCAGGAGATGGTGGGGGCGGCGGCGCGGGGGCGCGGCACTGCTGCAGTACACCGCGCACTGCGGCCGCCGCCCGCCGCACGCCACCGGACGGACAGACAGAGGCTCCGCCCCGCTACTGTCCGACAACAATGTACACACGGTTGCACGTCAGGTTATATATAACAATGTAGCAAATTTCTCCAGTTGACTTTACGCTCTACCTACAAAATAGTAAGGTTTAAAATAACCACAAACGGTGTGAAGAAATCAAAAATAGTTATCGCCCTATCAGACGCAGCATACCTTTCGTTAGAACGAGATTGCATAGCTTTACGTGTCAACTGCTGCATCCTCGTAGAATACTTTATCAGGATTTTGTACTGGATGCTTTCCAGACCAAGGTCTGGTGATAATGGAGCAGGAATTAGCTTGAAAAGCTTGTAGCGTGAAAAAAGTGTATTTCCTCGTCTATGATTTAATTAGCGCTAATAGTTTTTCAATTAAATAACTGTCAAGGGAAAATTTTGATTATAGGTACTTTTAGTGCACACACACACGCACACCGACACACACACAAATAAAATATTTAAAAAACTTTTTTTATTATATTTTTATTTCAGTAATCTAATTTGCTATTGGAGTATGCCTAATACTCCAATAGCTGGATATGTATAGTGTATCGTCTGGTATACCTGGGCGGCAGGTCCCAAGTGTCGGTATCGTCGTTGTACCGCAGCCGCAGCACAGCTGCCCGGCCCGCATGCGGTATGAAGCTGTCCGCGAGCAGCAGACGTCGGCGCAGTTCCGCTATGAGTGCCGAGTGCAGCGCCTCCAGCTCGCGGCGCTCAGCATCGTGCGCTTCTCGCTGCTCCGCGGTCTCCTCCCGCACGCACGTGTATTTCGCCAGGCATTTCTTTAATCTGCACATGCACACATCACTTTAAGCTGTAACCGTACACGGACTTCGAAGTGTTTGTTTATTTATTTTAATACCCTTCTGTCACATTACGATCGATGCGTGATAGATATAACTTCCTTTATAAAATTAAATTTCTCAAAAGACGGTTCGCGAGTGAGATATGGCTGTATCTCATTCTTTGCCCTCGCTCATATTCGAGAGTTTCCAATTCTGGTTGGTGGCTCAATACTGACAATGATTTTAAAAATTATACAACCTAGATCAAAACAGTAATAAATCCTCTAAGATGTTGAACATGAATATCGCAATAACTAGACAAACTAATAACAATAATTAGCTTCTATTAATCGATAACTCGAACGCCCTATCACTTTTACCTAATTTTCAAAGTACAAAAAAATTCTCATAGGTCTTTAGATCACGTGCTGCACCCAAAAAACTAAACATAATAACTAAAACATGATCACCCACCGTTGCGTTTTATGGTCGACTTCTTGTTGTAAAGTAGTAAAGGTATTAGTAACTATAGCGGTGGTCTCTTCCTCTAGATCTATCTTCTGCTGCATTTCCACTTCCCTCTTTTTCCTCTCCGTGATCTCCATGTTCCTCTGTTCAAGTATCATTTGACTCTCGTTCAAGTTGTTGATGAGGTCTTTCCCGCCACCGCCCTGCACTAATCTGTCCTCCAACGCTCTAATCTGATGCTCTAGCTCTTCTGTTTTACATTTCTCCTGTTCTATGGTGGATTCTGCTAATAAATGTTCGCTTTCTATGCTATCTGTTTCTTCCTCAGCTGCGACTGTGAACGGAAACAACAATTACTTATATTGATTATATTTTCAAACCAATTTTACACATAATTATATAAACAATAATTATTCACTTATCAAAATGACTAAAGGACAAAGGGCTCTTTGTGTAGCGTAGTGTATATGCCTAGCACGCTGTCTAGCTATGGTGATGATGGAGCAGGAAGCTCTAAGTATATGTGTCTATGTATACAGTATGTAGTGTCTATGTAAACAGTATGTAGTGTAGTGTATACAGACCGGGTGGCGGACGGGCGCGCGCGGGCTTGCGACGTCGCTCGAGGGCGCGGCGTTTGTCTATGAGGGCTCGCAGGCGCTCAATCTCCGCCTGGTACTCGCGCAGTTTAGCATCCTTCGGATCCTCGTTGCGAACCGGCTTGTTCTTAATCGCTGTACATATAAAGATTAAATACACATTAAACGTTACTAAATTTAATAATAACATGTAAGGAATAGTCTTACATTGTAATTGTCGTACGACACGGCACACAGGGTTTTTAATGTGTGGACTTTACTGATGCTAAAATATTTTATTTTTCAAAATTAACATAATAAAGCTTTGAAGTCTGTGGAAAAGTTAATCGTAACTATTTAACTATATTAGAGGTTAAAGTAAGAAATTGCCGTGTAATTGTATAATAAGTTTCTTGAATCGACATGGAATCTTCATGGTTTTCGAAAGAAACTTTTTTCACATGGTTTCTATGATTAATCTTTTAACAATTTTCAATTGTTTTTGTTATTCAACTTAGAAAAGAAAGATGGATACTGCGAAAATTCGAGTGATTTTTGAATACGAGTTCCGACGCGGATGTAACGTGGCATAAACCACCGTACTATTTTGGTTTAAACGCTTTCGTGATGGAAAATTCGACCTGAAGAACGAGCCACGAGGAAGACCGCCCACACAAGTGAATAACGATGAATTAAAAGAGATGGTGGAAGCCGATCCTCTAAACTACCCAGGAATTAGCGGCGATGTTTAACGTTACCTTGCCCACAATATTGACTCATTTGCGTCAAATTAATAAAATAAAAAACGAAAAATGGGTGCCTCATGATTTGACTGATCTACAGAAAGAAACACGTGTTGAAACTTGTGTTACCTTGTTGAATCGGTACAGAAATGAAGGAATATTGTATCGAATTGTGACATGTGATAAAAAGTGAATTCTTTATTATAACCGTAAAAGAAAAATGCAATGGTCAAAAGTCAAAGGTCCCAGGTCAAACGCCACAACAGTGTCGTAAAGCAAACTAACCAATAAAAAGGCAATGGTAACTGTTTAGTGGTCGCAGCATGTTATTATTCACTATAGTTTTCTCCGATCTGGTCAAGCAATAACGGCAGATGTCTATTGTGCCTAACTCCGAATAATGTTGGCAAAACTAGCAGTAAAACAGCCCCGACTCATGAATCAATCTTCACCAATAATGCTCCATGACAACGCGAGACCTTATACAGCACGAGAAACCGTTTTGACCCTTCAAGAACTGCAGTGCCATTCGTGATCCTCCGTATTCGCAAGACCTTGCTACAACGGACTATCATTTTTTTCGTAATTTGGACAATTATCTACGTGACAAGAAGTTTTCTTCCCAGGTGGCAATACAAAAGGCTTTCCACAGTATGTGCAGTCTAGATCCTCAGAGTTCTATCGCAAAGGCATGAATGACCTTCCTATTAGATGGCACCAATGTATACATCAAAACGGTAACTATTTTGACTAAATATTTTGTTATAAATTTCAAATAATTTTGATTTTCAGTACAAATCGGAAATTTCATACTTTAACCCCCATTATTTGAATATATCGCTTATTTTCTTATTTACATTAATAGGACTGCATGAGGAGCACAGGCAATGTCTGCAGCTTATTTCATTGATCGGTCATAGGCTATCATTATAATTATCAATGTGTGCCTAAGAAAATCGCGTGCACTGCGCATGCGAGCCTTTTGATAAATGTATACGAGTCATTAATTATAGATGAATCTGTCTCACCCTTGGCCCGGTGTGCATACCGCAGCGTTGTGATGGTCTCGTCGTAGTTGTACGAGGCGGGGCCGATGTTGGCGATCATGATGGTCTTACTGTTGCCGCCCAGCGAGTCCTGCAGGATACGTGTCAGCTTCGAGTCTCTGACACAACACAAACGATTATACTAACAACCACATACACGCACCATAGAACATTTATTGTAACGGCTATTTAGAAATTAATGTCTAAAGTAAGAGATTTATAGTAGACTGCAGCAAAATTATTTTAAGCTTTAATCTATTGAAAGTCGAGTTCGACGTGGATTGCAGACATTTGGCCTTTTTAATACTGATGTACTGATATGTATACAGAGTGCTTTCAAGCAAGAAAGCCAATTTAAATGGTATAAGGTCCTTGTCGTTGTCCAATTATTTCTACTTATTTTATGTAATCACTTAGAATTTGAATCGTAACATTCACTATGGCTACTTACGTCACGTATTTTATTGAAAATTAATTATTTTCAGTCTGGCGTCAAGGCCTATTGTGTAGACATATTAGTAATGCTCGATTCGTAACTTTTAAGGGTATAACAATCGGACGGTTAGCGAGAATTGTAATTGTATAAATATCTTTATCATACTCAATGATCTGCTGTAAGCTATTTAAAATAAACTAAACTTAAAAATTAAGTCTTTCAAATCAACTATACAACCTTATACTGTATAATCACAAAATAGGACGGTATTTTCTTTAAAACTTTGTGTTGTACTAGTTGCGTTTCCAGTCACTAACACCCACGAAACCATCCGGACTGAGCTTAATTAGTGAATTAAGTCACGTTCTACTTGTAATTCTTTTCATAGGAAAGGTATGTTCCAGCTGTGGTGATGTGTACCTAGAGTATGTCATGCTCTCTTTAGTCTTTGCGGTGGCGTCGTGTGGGTCGAATTATGTTCTCTAAAATATGGTAGAGCGAAGCGATGACTGGCCCATGCGTCATACTCGTGAACGGGTGCTGCTAGTGTAGATGAGTATGCTCTACATTAATTACTCTTGTCCAGTTTAATGTATATTGTATATTAATTAATTGGGATTATGTTAAAAACAGAAATCCGTCAGTCATATAATATAAAAATATTATAAAGGTATTTTTTTATGGTTCAAATTAACAACAGAAAGTTAAGACAATGGCGGACTAAGAGGGAGGTAGAGGGGGCGGTCCGCACCGGGCCTCTTGTCCTGGGGTTCCTCCAAACGGCTGTAAGTACCCTGATCAAATCATAAATTGGGGAAGTACCGTCTTATTTTTTTCATGTCCAGTTTCGTAATCTTAGCATGGGGACGGGGGTGTTAACGCAATATCAAGTTTATGCCCCGGTTGGAAAAAGTTTTAGGTCCAGTCCTGATGCCGCCCTGGGTTCCCGACGTGACTGACGTCACTGAGTTTAGATAATAAACGTTAAAGCTGAGGAATGGGGGTTCGCTACGTCACGGTTTTGTAGAAAATGTACCAAAACGTGGGTCATATGACATTTTAACTTAACGTATCGACGTTATTTGTCGATTATGCATAAAAAATATAAGTGTTTAACATTTTTCAATAACCTACTTTAGTACCTACAGGTTCTATTTACGAAGCGATGGCAAAGAGTTTCGACTTTCACAAGTGCTTAACAACTTAAGACTGAATACATGATTTCGATTCGATTCGATTATTTGATATTTTAATGTACCTGTAGGGCACATGTGGACTGTTCTCAGCGAGCGCGGATATAACGTTCCCCAGTGATGAGAGCGCCTGGTTGATCCGCGCCGCCTCCCGCAACCGGTCCGCGGAGGCGCCGGTCTTACGCTGCCTCTCGCTGCCCGCTAGGTCTACCAGGTTCAGCTTGCCCACGCTGTAACAACATCATAACTGTATTATAGTATGAAATTTTAAAATCAACATTTTATCTTATAAAAACCTCCTTCAATAAAATATGTTGTAATTTTCCATCATTAACGTGAGATAAGAAATCCAGTTGGGAATTTTAAAAATCTATTTACTTATACAATGACATATACAATCTCATCAATACATACTTAAAAACAACGTCGCTTTATGCTATTTGTACGCCGAGATCTTTTAAACTACACAACGGATTTAATAGCTGTGTTTGTCAATATTTAGTGATTCAAGAGGAAGGTTATAATTAATACAGGACCACGGGAACGAAGTCGCTGGCGGACATAAAGTACAGTATAAACACATATATAATACAAGTTTCTATACGCAAGCACCGTGCACGATCATGGCGGATGAGTCAGCCTTGACTTGCACCAACCGATTTCATCTAAGTATACTCCATTAAAAACAACTAATAAATAATTGTAATCAAAGAAAAAGCGGAAAATGAAACCTTTAATACACGTCTACGATATTAATAAAAACTAATATATATTATGATGATGTCTACTATAAGGTTTCTATAATATTGATGGCCTAGAAATGAAATAAACTGAGAATCGATAGGCTATTAGGTAATAAAATAGAATTCAATAAACACCGGTGTGAGTGAATCGTGTCCCGCAGCGGAGTGGAGCCCTCATAAACTGCTTCCGGAAACCGATCCTTATTCACTACATCCTTCTTATAAAATCAACATACCTTAATACGCATGGGAATGAAAGCTCAGCATTAGTTAGCATTATATATAATGTTGGAAATGAGGTCCTTAGTTATTTCGTTATCATTCCGAAACTAAAATATGATTTGATGAGGAAACGGCAGGCCTAGGTACCTACTACCGCTTAGCTCGATTCGGGTTCAATCAAGATGCATTCAATGTTCAATCCCGTATTGTGTATATTTCAATACATCGAATTTCATCAAATGTTCTTTACAATTAAAACAGTATTGGACATTCACTGCCAATTGATTGAATCCGATGCTAACCAAACGTGACGCGGTAGAACAATTTTTGACCTAGGTTATAGTCTAATTATCCCCATCTAACGACTCGTTTATGAATCCTTAGGAGAAGGAAGGAAGTACAATGGTGGGAGGGTTGTTGCGTTGAAAACCACCCAGATACCAACAGTTTTTATTGAGTTTTACGTAACATCTTATCGGAGTAGAGGCAGTGAGCTAAGTAGCCCAAGGATCGTATCGATAGACAAAAAATCTAATTGAGCAGTCAACAATATTGATCAGATTTTTTGCCAGCACCACTGTCACGGTACTAATTGATTACTGGTCTATTGTATTGGCCTGATGTTATTAAAATGAGGGATTTAGGATTGACAACGTTCACTTAAGCACGAAAATCCACATCGAACAAATAGGTACGTATATTATATATCTTTTGTATTATCGATATTTAGATAGCGCCAACATATCTTATTTGCCACAGAGCACAGAAAGGTACCCATTATAAATAAATAGATGATTTATAAGAACTTTCTGATATTGACGAACACGCAAGTATGTACGCACTGCCGCACATCATTTTACTACTAAAGGTCAAAATTTTGCTATCGATACTAAACTTAACTGACAACAGCTTTAAAAGACTAAAATTAATTAGAGTTAAGCATTTGGTTTTTTATAGTATAATGACATGCTATCTATGACTGCTGTACGTATGTAATACTCTTCGGAGCCAGTCTGGGTCGCTTTTTATTCCTGACAGTAGCACATGTTTACAGTACTTAACACATTCGTATCATATGAGGCATTCCAAAGAGGGTTTAATACTTTTAAATAAGAAAATGTAACTCAAATATATTTTCCAAGAAATAACCCACACCCACAACTACAATATTATATTAATAAAGAGTGAATCACTGATGCGTTTGTTCTGATTCATTCACTTGCATTCGTCTTTCTTTATTAGGATAGGCTATCGTTTAGCATATGTGTGAAAGAGGTTCGAGTTGAAATTATATTTGTTAAAAATAGCATTCGTATGGTAAGATCATTTAGTTTTTATATGCCATATCTTAAGGTTTATTGTTTGAGATATAAAGCAGAAAGAAATGAAATCATACCATTCTTTGAATGGAACCCCTGTTTTTAATTTCAATCCATTCTCGCAAAGGGCAATTTCAAAAATTCTAAACAATATCTAGCGCCCAGAAGATGGCTTTAAGAAAAAAAATACGCCTAGTGCTTAGTCCTATATTTTTAAAACTAAGTAAGTACAGTATTTAGTCTTCAAAAGGGAAAATAAAACATCACTTCTGCTAATCATCTGGATAATTGTATATACCATTAGATCATCTTTATATTTTATTTAATAGGCGGGACCAACCTAGATACAATACTAACCTAGGTTAGTACATTTCCTATCATCAAATTAAAAATAGGCATAAACAATAAATAGCTAATAAATGCCGAACGGCCAGATTCTATTAATAAAAATAGTAAATTAATTAAGAAAGACATAGACATTAAGAGAGGCAAGTATTAGATACAAAATTGAACCAGATTCAAATACGGTTTATAAATGTGAACACGTGCCAATATTTATAAACGTTCCAAAATAAACCGCCTATCTCCATAAAAATTACGTACAACATCTCGGGTATATGGCAATAAAAACTGGATAGTGAATATAACAAGCGGCCCCTACTAGGGATCTTCACCTCAACCATTAATTACGTTACAAAAACGAGACAATAATTATATTGACCATATCTGCTGACTGAGGAAATAAGGTGAACCTATTCATTCCTTACATGTTTTAGAATAGTCATAAACAATGTCGACATTCCTACTGAAAAAACCACAATAAGCTTCATAATGTTTCCTAAACAAAATCAGTCCATTGAAGGTACCTCAGAAATATTGCCAATCGAACTGCACTCAATAGCAGGATTGCCGAAGCAGTTATGCTAGGCTCTGATGTAGGTTATGAGCGTGGCCTTTGGCCTGAACAGGAATTGGGTATGGAGCCGTCCTTTCAGGATCCCAGGCCCTTCTCTTCAAAAATGAGGGTACATCGGAGGCGATTCAGTGAATAATCCCATTCTCGCGTTTTTACTAGCCTTAGAAGGGCCGCGTGTAGAGTCCCACATACCTCTCTGCCGGCCGTCAAGCGGCATCAACAGTGCATAATACATTGCCCCTATAACAAAAAAAGACTGCCAGGGAAGGGTCGTTAACAAATAATAACAAAAATTGTAGCAATCTTATACAAGCTTCCTTAATACTCGTACTTTAAGAATTTCACATAATAAATATTACTTATGACATAACATAGGAAGTGTCAGCAAAATCTCGTCATTGATTAACTCGTTTAGGCAATACATGCTAACAGGTGGAGGATAGAGCCCACGCGCTGATGACTGAATTGCAAACTATCGATTGATGCTTGTAGGAAGACTGATTGTTACAAGGGTTGTCGACTCATATTTGCAAAACTTAATGTGCAAACAGATTTATGTGTGCGTGTTGTGTCGTTTTTGTGGTGTCTCTAACCATATAAAATATTCTTATTACGCGACGCAACAAAATACATCATCTTTACGTTCATCACATTTTTTTAATAATACCTAATAATTTATTTCGTAAGCATTTTCAAGCTTTGTTGTAAGTCAGTAAAACTTACGATTAACTCTATAATACGAGTACATTGCAAATTTAAGATACGAGTGTTATACACGTGTAAATCGGTGTATGAAATGCATTTGCATCATACTCAAAAGAGCTACGGGTAGGGCCGTAGAACTTGGATCTGTTGCAGGTTACTTAACAACCCTAACTACCCTGAATTTTAACGTTTAACTATCATAACACTGAATTGTTGTTTATTTTAGTAACGTAATCCATGACGACGCATTTTAATATGTTTTTTATGGCTTAAAACTTGACCAATAATAAAAAAAATAAAAACAATTTCGACAGCCCTAAGCTAGTCACTCGTGCGAATTGTCAACCCACATAACTGAGTACGCTACGCTACGTTACTCACCATTACGAAATAACTCGTAACTATTCCCTATTTGTACAAGAGTCAATGATAAACTGTTTATTTTTTTTTTAATAAAACGTCTCCATCTACCTCAGTTCATAAATTCATAGCACGGTGTTACAATTACGAGAGGTTTCATCGATGAATTTGACTATTTGCATTGCGTAATGTACACAAACTTAAAATGTTCATCGATTACGTGGAGATTTACAAACAATGTACGTAGGTGATACAGTTTTTTAACACGGAACAATTTTTTACTTCGTGTATCTTAACATTAATAAAATTTATGAATCGTAAATAAAACAGCCGCTGCTGATAAAAAAAAATATTAAATGCTTCTTCAAAAATTCTAAAAACTGAACACCTAGCTAAATATAAACTAGTAGTAGGTGCCTATATGGTTTCATTATTCTAAAAATGGTTTAGAATTATATTTCTTAAGACAAAACATAACATCATGAGTGTTATTAAAATATATTGTACTCTTTGGTATAATATGTAAATAGCCATTATGGTATGTCCGTTTCGGATCTATAGTACTATAATTTGATACTTTATCATTTGGAAAACATAGACAATCTGAAATCATTTCATGGGGCACAATCGTGGATTCTTCTTATTTTGCACTTTATGATTAATCTGCTAAACGAAAATTTGCATAATAATACATTAGTAATAGTCTAAGATGCCACTATAAAATTTATCCTCAGAAGTTTCATAAATTTTACTAAGCAATCCTGTTGCAATCTATTCTACTATCTTAGATCTATGATAATAAATGAGTTATATAAAAAAAAAAGATAATTGCAGATTTAAGCAGCGGGGTCTCGTACTATAAGCGCTGAAGCAGAGCTATGTATACATCCGATCGTCCTTTGTTTTTCTGAATATGTATTGAGTGTTTTGTCCCGGTGACCGGGTGACTCGCATTGATTAAACAT